TATGCGCGAGCGCCGATATCGGGTAAGTATCAAGCGGTAACCTTATTTTATACGGGATCAACCTCATCTTCGATGAAGTCCCAAGCGAAATTACCAACGTGAGAAAGAACAGCGCTCTATCTTTGCAGCTCCTGCCAGCTTTTAGAAATGTTCTCGGCGCCGAGAAGTGAGAGCCACATTTTGAACATGCTCGTACCCCCATGCGTTTAGCTGTTGTACTTGTTAAGGCAAACGTGCGTGACTGCAGGGTGAGAGCCACATTTGAAAGCGGCCTTCCCTCCATCCGTGTAGCTGTCGCGAACTTCAGCTAGGAATGTGCGCGGCGCTACGGCGTGAGCTTCATTTCGAAACGACGTTATCCGACCCGTGTAGCTTCTGTAAGTTAGAACCACTCGTTGCCAGGAAGTCTCAGAGCGAACTGCCTGGTCCCTGGCGGCGACTCTGGCTCCGGCCCTGGCGCGCTCCGAGCTGACCCAAGAAGTCCGCGCGTACCCTCGAACATTTTGGTTTCTGAAGTTTTGTTCCTCCTTGTAGTAGCGGGGTGGGTTCTCACCTACGGACCGAGGCGCTTGCTAAGTGAAGCGGGGTACTTCATTGCCAAGTGGTACTCCTGCGCACATCAGGGAACGAAGGCTCTGAGAAGGGTCGGCGTTGTGACGATATTGTATTATTTTCTTCGTGCGACGTAGAGGACCAAGGAGTCTTGAGGCCACTCGGCAAAACCGTGGGGTCCTGGAGGCTGCACCAACGCTTCTGGGCGCGCCGCAGTATGGCGGGGACAGGATGGGGTGGCCGTTGGAGGGCCTCGAAGCCTTCTTGTCACCCCCAGGCTGCCATCCGCGCTCCTGAGATGCGGGTCCTGAGGTGCAGGAGGGCGGAAGATGGGCCTTCGGGCTCTGGGGTGCAGCCCTGTGGGGCTACAGCATCGCGCTGGCGGCGAGGGGCTGTCGCCGTCCAGAATGTTGCAACTACTGCAAGTCGCTGTCGTCGTCGTCGTCGTCGTCGTCGTCATCTTCGTCATCCTCCTCGTCCTCGTCCTCGTCCTCGTCCTTGTCGTCGTCGTCGACGCCGTCGTCGTGGTCGTGGTCGTCGTCTTCGTTCGCGCCCCCGGCAGTCGTCGCCCCGTTCTGTGCTGCAGCCGTCTTGGCTCGGAGGTGCCGCCGCGGCGGCCCCGCCAGAGCCAGCGCTCCCCCTGCGCCCGGGGGAGACCCTCGCTGCGCCCGCCGGCCCTCCCAGCGTCTGGCTCTGAGGCCGGAGTCTGTACACGTCGGGGGCGAGAGGGGGGGTCAATGCAAACGCGGGTCAGTCAGAGCGCCGGATGTTGCAGGATCTTGCCGAGCCAGGGGCGCGCTGACCCGGGCTTGGGCGCAGGATCCTGCAGGATCCTTCAGGATCTTGCCGGACTCTGCCATGGCTGACTGACACGGGTCTGGCTTGACCTGGGTCAGTAGATCCCCGAATGGGGGCGCGATGAATGAAGTCCAGGGAGGTTTTTCATAAAATGCCCTTTCAGGGCCCCCCGAGGGGCCCTTTGGGGCCCCAAAGGGGGCCGCTAGGGCCCGAGCAGTGCACCTGTCTTCCCCACCCCCATGTATCGCCCACTGCCCATTAAGCGATGCCTGACGCCTGGGGAATCGATGTTGCAGGACCCAACGGGGCATTGTCATGGATGTTATTCTCTTGCACAGGGTGTCTAGAGCTCCTTCCATTTTATTCCGCGTCGCACCGCACCCCGCCCTCTTCCCGCCCCCCCTCCTACTCCTCACCAGTATCCCAGCGGCTCAGTGGAACCTCCGCCCAGAGCCCCCTCCGCCCCGACCATTCTATTCAGCGTCGCACCGCGCCCCCCCCCTCCCCGCCCCACTCCTACCCTTTCTCAGCGGCCCATTGAAACTTCCGCCAAGTGCCCCCTCCGCCCCGACCATTTTATTCCGCGTCGCGCCGCGCCACCCCCCTCCCCGCCCCCCTCCTACCCCTCCCCAGCCTTCCCTAGCGGCCCAGTGGAACCTCAGCCCAGTGCCCCCTCCGCCCTAACCATTTTATTCCGCGTCGCACCGCTCCCCCCCCTCTGTGAAGCGAAACTTCACAGGGCACACTTCCTCTTCCCTCGAGATGCTCCTCAGGCAGCTCTCCACGTGGCGCTCTATCTCCGATCGGCGCCACCAGCACCCGCACGCACCAGCACTATGAGAGAGAGCGGGGAAGTATGTATTGTGCTTAATTATATAGGAGTTGGTAGAGAGGGAGAAAGGCGGGGCCTCTCGGGCCCCGGGACTCCTGTGGTCCCCAATGAGGGCCTGCAGTCAAATGGTTATGGACGGAGCGAATCATGGCATTCAAATCGACGTGGATCGATTGACACCGACCCTTAAATATCTTCGCTCCAATCCATAGCTGAAGCGGGCGTCACACTATCCACAGGCTTTGCTGGAAATCTAGATCACCCCACAAATCTGGGCGAAAATCCAGAGTCTGGACAGTTTCTAAAGCATTGATTCCGAGGCCTTTACGCCTCTTCGCAGACTCAAACATCTGATCGTATACCAAACGCCACCGGCAACCGTTGCTGAAACACAAATCCAGGTGCCATCTTTCATGGCCCTTGGTGAGACTGTTAGCTAGCATGGCATCACTGTGGACCCATCGAACAGGACACTCACAGGCCTCAATCCCGTTCCTCAGGGCTAGCAGTTCTAGACCCGTCCTGAACTCTGTACCTACCATCAGTTATTCCGGGCAACTAAGACAATCGTACAGGTTCTTTGAGTCAGTCACTAGACATCCAGGAACTCGCCGAACGTGGTCCCAGGGATCTCTAAGATCAGGTTTCCACCCAGATAACTCCGACAACAAGAAACGAGCATAAGTAACTTTGTCCTCTGCGTTGACCGTAGCTGAAACCTCAGCCGCCAGGGGTGATCGGCACGTCCGTTCTACTTTGCCCGAACACCAACTCATCAAAGAGACTCCCGTCTCCTTGCCCTCGAGAAACGACACCGGGACAACTCCTATGATCCTGATTTCCGTCGACTTCCCGTCTATCCTCTTCGCGAAAGCCGCATCCCCCCAGCCAGCGACTGCCAGTTCTTCGATTGGCTCGAACGCGAAGGTTTCGATCGTCCTTTCTCGGGCCTCTTTGGCCCTCTTGATGAGCTTGTTAACCTTCAGCAACTTCTCCACCGTACACGATTTCGTCTTGCTCTGGAGCAAACTTAATTCTGCTAAAATGTCGGGCCCCGTCTGGGTCCCTTTCCGCTGGAGGCTCCCGGTGGCTGCTCGGAACTGACTCTTCTCAGCGGCTGTGACTGGCGAGGCGACGAGATTTGACAACGACGCTCGGGAAGGACCTCTATTTCCTCGATCTGTTCTATGTACGTCTTTTGGCTCAAGCTGAAACTGAAATCTGATCGCTGGTAGATGTCAACACCACACTGTGTGAAAGATCCGTACTCCCACTCCGTCCAGCGAAACGCATCCATGATCTGTTGCTTGGCTCTGTCCCACGTCTGGTCATGATCACGACCGGCGAATAAGAAGTCATCCACATCAGATAGAGCCATTCCGCGGACATGGGATCGACCATCAGAAACATCAGACTCCAGAATCCAAACACACGGATCAGCTTCCAGTTGTCTCCAGCAGAGTTTTTTCAGCTTCTTGTTCACAGCCTTGTGCCACGCCCTCGGAGCCTGTACTAGACCGTAAGCTGACTTCTTGAGAAGAGCCGCCTGACCTGTGCCAAGACCCAGGTACTCTGCTATGTCACCCGTCGGCTTCCCGAACAAATCACGATCCAGCTCCTCGCCTTGCAAGAGCGCAGACTTAACATCTCCCCTGGCAAATCTCATCTTGAAATGGGCCGCCTTCTGAAAGACGACCTGTCTTGCCGTCCTGGTAGCCGTTGGTGCACACGATTCCTCCGTAGTCAGACCCGAATCCTGAAATCCCAGAATCACAAGTCGCGCCTTGGTTTTTCTGCCACTGGGTTCTTTTGGATCTATCTTCCAGGTCAGGATCCCCGTGCCCCCTCCGCCTCTGTTTCGGGCCCCCTGGGAGTTCTTCGGATCCTCTGTCAACTTTTTTGATATTTGTTGGTCTTGGCGGCCATCTCGCGGGGGAGGGAGGGCCCTTGGAGTCTCCTCGAACTCGCCCTGTCAAGCCCATCTTGCGGTCCTCGTTGGCCCCTCCTTCCCCGATTCTTCGCATCCTATATCCTTTCCCCATCCTCCTCATGCACCTCCTCCTCCTTCCCCCTCCCTTCTGTGCAAGAGCCATGGCACGCGTGCCACTTGTTTCGCCCTGGGCGGGGTCCAAACAAACACATCTCCACTGCCTTTCAGGAGTCCGGGGGCACCAGTACTCACTGCCCCATGCAGTGGATGTTTTTGGATGCCAGCGTGTATGCATTTGCTCAGCCCCTCCTCCTCCTCCGTGAGACCTCGGGCAGCGAACCAATACGGGGCAGCTTTTGATCGATGACTCCTCGGATGTTGGAAAAGTTGGTTTCCTAAAGCACGTATGCCCAGAAGCTCTGGGTTTCAAGACGTTCCTTTTCTAGAGCTTCCAGGGATTGGGGCAAGGGGGAGTACAGCAGGCCACACCATGGCTAGTCGACCCGCTTCAGCGTTACAGTAGTGGAGGGCATGACTACTGGGCTTGAACATGTCCACAGGCGTGATTCGTCTGGTCCATTTTGGAACAGCCGTTCCAGATGGGCAGGGGGGGGGGGGCCTGTGCGCTTTCGCGGTTATCCCTTTTCCTCCTCTCCCCTCCTACTTGCTCCTTTCTCTTGCATCCTTCCTAGCTCCCCCTTCTCACTCTCACCACCTCTGGTTTACCTTGTCTCTTCAATCCTCCGTATCAGTATCCTCCTCGTCCGCTGTGGTTATCCATGCTCCTTCCTCCGCCTCGTTATCCCCTCCTCTCTTGGCACTCCTCCGCCTCCGTCTTCGGGGGGCGGGGGGGCGAGGCAGTCGTAAAGGGAGTCTCTCGTTTGGGAAATGCATAGGGCGAACGAGAACATCGGCCCGAGGGTGCTTCATGGAGTCATAAGGCAGACCGCCGCGTTGCAGGAAGAGAAGTTGGAAGGGGTGACCGTGCTCACAAACAGCGAGGACCCCCTGGACATCCAGGCCCTTGTCGAGGGTCCGACGGAGACGCCGTACGATGGCGGCATCTTTCGGATCAAGGTCTGTATAGGAGCGGACTTCCCGCAGCAGCCTCCGAAGGCCATCTTCTTGACTAAGATCTTCCACCCCAATATCAACGCGTCGACTGGGGACGTTTGCGTCAACACGCTCAAGAGGGATTGGGACCCAGCGAACTGGAACATCGGCCACATTCTGCAGGTCATCCGTTGCTTGTTGATCGTGCCCTTTCCGGAGTCTTCCCTGAATGAGGAGGCCGGGCGCTTGTTCATGGAGAGCTACTCGGAGTACGCCACGCACGCCGCCATGATGACCCGCACGTGGGCCATGCCGCGGCAGCCAGCGAGCACGGCTCCGCAGAGAGACGAGGCCGGCGAACCCGCGGAGGAGGGAGAGGCGAGGAGGCCCTCCAGGCAGGCGGGCGCCAAGCAGAAGAAGAGTCTTCGGCGCCTGTGACCAGGGGCCGGGGCACGGTGGTCCCAAAGGCGGCGGGGGCGGTCGAGCAGCCTTTAGCTAGCTCCTGCCCGACGCTCTCGCCTGATGGCGTGCGACGGGGCTCGCTTCCTCACTGCCTGTGCGGGCGAACGCACGTGAGCAGCGCCATGCAAGCAGGGTGGTCAGCGACCAGCGGTTCGGGGCACGGGCGGTTCGGTGGTCGGGGGGGGGGGGGAGGAGGCGCAGCAGCAGGCAATGCAGAGGCCTCCCCGGGCCATGTGCGGTGGATGGTGCCCCCTCGTCGAGCCAGCTGCCTCTGCCCCTCCTCCCCGAGCTCGCGCCGCATCGACGCGGCGGCGACGCCGGCGTTGGGCGCGCAGGGCGGAGGGCCACCAGCTCCCTTCGGGTGTTGCTAGAAGTGCCCCTGGCCCAAGGTGCCCCCAGGATTTTTTCAAGGAGGCCCCCACGGCCTCCAGCACACCCCTCACGAGGCCCAGGGGGCCTCCGGGGCTCCAGGATTGAGCGAGAGGGGCACCTTGGGCCAGGGGCGCCTCTAGCAACCCCCGATCCCTGGTCCAGGTCGACCTTGAGCGATCTCCTTCGCCGCATATAGCGTGCGCGCCAAACAAGACACCAGCATGCCAGCAGGCGCTCCACGGACATCTCACATCTCTCATCCCCCGCTGGCCCCAGGGGCCCGCAGAAGCCCTCGGGCGGGGCACCCGAGGACCCTCAGAGGTCGACGAAGAATCAGCCCCAGCATTTCTCAGCGCAAGATCTCGCATCGTGCGCGTCTGCTGTAATGGAGGATGACGATTAATAAATGACCGGGGGTCGTATTCACGCGGCGGCGCCCGGGATGGCGATTAGAAAAAACCGGCCGCGGGCTGGAAAACTATCTTTTTCAATCGTTCTCCTCCAGTCAGAAAATTGTGCAGAAATAACAGAAAACTATTTTTTAATCGTTCCCCCCCCCCATTTTTTATTAATCGTCATCCCGCATTAGCGGAGATCGCTGATGTGTCGCACGACCCGAACGCTGTCAGAGGGGACAGTCAGTCAGCAGTCGCCTCGAGACGACGGGAGCCGGCCGTATACCTATACGACCACCCTTCGGGTGGTAATAAAACGACACGAAGATCGGGACAAAATCGGATTGGGATAACTCGAAATCTCTGAGAATCGGCGGGTTTGGAGGATGTACTGGGCGCCGCGGCCGCTCCAGAGCGTTCCGGAACGCTCTGAGAGCGCTCCGGAACGCTCTGGAGCGATTTATCCCGATCCTAGCCCTGTTTGAGGTAAGGAGGTTGAGGGGAGGTGAAAGAACCAATTGCTGGCAACTGCGATGGGTGTGATGATGACATGACGATGCTGGTGGCGCGCTCTCAAGTTGAGGGCGACGCGTGATGACGATGCTGCGCCGCGATGTGATGCCACTATAGACCCCGCGATCGATTTCACTCGATCGATCTCACTACCGACCTCACGGCCAGCCTCAGTACTTACTATCGATGGATCTAGCGATCGATCCCATTAGCAATCTCACGCTGAGTGTCGCTGAGTACGAAAAGGCCGCGCCGCTCGCAGACATGATTCCTGGAAGCAGGTGTTGTGCGTAATGCTTGCTTGGGCCACACAGCTGCGGTAGGAGTGGCCGTGGTAATGATCGCATTAGCCGCGGTGGTTGCAATGCGATGAGTGGTCGAGAGGATTGTAACCAGGAGAGTCAACTGAAACGACCCCGCAGTCGATCTCATTGTGGATCGCATTTAATCGATATCACAACCGATCTCACTATCGATATCACTATCGATGTCACTCAGTGGATCCCGCCATCGTTCCCACAGTCGATCTCACAATCGATGTCCTGATAGATATTACGATCGATTTTACCATCGATCTCACTCGGCCAATCTCGCTATCGATTACACACTTGATCTCTGAAGTGATCTGAATCGATCTCACAATCGAGCCAATCGATCCCACTATCGATCTCAGTGTCGATCTAGCAATCGATCGCACTATCGACCTCACGATCGATTGCACGATCGACGCAGTTATCGATCTCACTATCGAGATCACCACCGCTCGCACGATCGATGCAACTACCGATCTCACTATCGACCTCACCATCCAACTATCGTTCTCACGTCCGATCTCACCACATCGTGGTCGTTATATATATACACATATCACGGTCGATTTCAGCACCGATCGAGACACCCTCGGGACACCACTGCGGAACATCGCGGGGCACTGCGGGACACCATTGAACACCACGGGACACCGCGGGACACCATTGGAACACCGCACAGGGGCACCACGGCGGGACACCCCAAGCCACCGACCGCTCACCAGAGGGCCAGACTTTGGCATCTGAATCGCCCTAGCGACGGAGGGATCATTCCTCTCGCGCGCACACGCAGCTTCGCCCCGCCCGCACGCACGACACGAACACGAAACCTGGACTGATTTCCCGGTGGAGGGCTCTCCGTTCTATTGCGATCTCACCCCCCAACCTTCGACCTCCACCCACGCCCGTCCTGGCTGGCGCGGCCTTTCACCTGACGGCCAAACAGGGCTTGACTATTATTCGACGCGGAGATCCCCAGATGTGCATCTCGTTTCCTGGAACGTCGCGGTGAGCGTCTGGGTGTGAGAGCGAGTGCATATGAACGAGTAGATACGACGACAACGACGACGATGGCGGCGGCTACAGAATGATGAGGGACAGTGACGAACACAACTCAAAGACCGATAGACGGTGAGCAGGCCCCCTTCCCTCTCCTTCCTCTTACTACTCGTCGTACCCCATTTCTTCGCTTCCTCCCTCCTCCCTTCTCCCTCTTCCTGCGTCGTCTTTCTTCCTCATCCGTCCTCCCTCCTCCGTTTTGGCGGTCGTCCTTCTCCCTACATCGAAGTGATCATGCTGCTCTGAATTTGCAGGTGTGCTGAAGCCAGCGCCTCGCTCGAGACAGCTTCTAAATCTGTTGTGGAGAAAGCGAAGTCCAAGCCATCAAACAGGCAAGCCGCTTGAGGCATCTCCACATTCTGGTCGCGAACGGGCCGGTGAAGTACCTTCTGACGCCCCACCCTTGAGGTGCCGAATTCAGCGCATCGCTTGGGACATTCTTGCAATCTGGTTAGAAAACGCCGAACTCCAAGCCACTAAACAGGCAATACGCTTGATACATCCCCACAATCTGGGCGAAAGGGCTAGTGAAATACCTCTTGACGGCTCCCTTGTTGGCTTGCTGAAACCAGCGCCTCGCTCGATACCTCAAACGTTGCTCTGAATGCAAAGGAGTGGGTTATCAAACAGGTAACCCGCCGGAGACATCCCCATGATCTGGCCGCGAACGGGCCCGTGACATATTCCCTGGTGGCTCCCCCTTGGAGTGCTGAAGCCAACGCCTCGCTTGAGACATCCTCACAAGTTGAGTGTGCGTGCGTGTGTGTGTGTGTGTGTGTGTGAGTGAGTCTGAGTGTGAGGACTCTGAGTGTGTATGAATCTGAGTGTGAGAAGTGAGTCTGCGTGTGAGTGCATCTGAGTGCATCCGAGTATAAGTGAGCACAGGTGTTAGTCTGAGATGAGTGAGTTTTAGTATGAGTCTGAATGTGAGTGGGTGAGTGTGTGTGTGAGTCTGAGTATGAGCGGTCCGAGTTTGATGAGAATTCGAAGGAGGCGGGTGTGGGGAGGCGGAGGCGCCACAGAAGTACCAATATCTCCATCTTAGGAGATCGGGAAGAACCTTTCGGAGGTCCGCGGGGATCTCTTGGATCGGTACTGGACCCTCCTTGCGCGCGGAGCGCGCCAGGGGGTCAGCGCCGACCCAAGAAAGCAGCGCAGATCTCCGGACATGTACGTTTATGCCGTTGTCGGTTCTTCTGCTTCAGCAAGGCGGGCGCGTCTTTTCACTTCACGCCCCAGCCGGGCTTAGCAAATTCGACTACATCTGCAAGGTCTCCCCTCTGTTCCTCTGCACTCTTCTGGGAACTCATACGCTGCGGGTCAATCCTCACCGACTCGCTGCTGGACACATAGGCAGCGCCCCTCCTTCTTCTCCACTTCGTCATTCTCTTTCTCCTGCTCCTCTTCCTCCTGCTCCTCCTCCTTCTCCTCATTATCGTCCTTCTGCTCCTGCTCTGCTCTCCTCTACAATTACCCAATATGAAAATACTCTCTCACTTCCCCTGATGGCGTCCCGAAGATATCCGACACCCCCCCGCGTATTGTTTTTTACACACAGGATTCCCGGGAAACGGGTTTTCGCTTGTGTTTTTTTTCAAAATGCTGCTCTCGCCGGGGCGCCGGCCTCATTTTCGGGCCCCGCTCGTTCCGAATCGTGCTCCCGCTTCAGCGCTGGCCTCATTTCCGTGCTTCCGCTCGTTCCGAATCGTGCTCCCGCTGCAGCGCCGGCCTCATTTCCGCGCTTCCGCCTGTTTCGACTCGTGCTCCCGCTGCAGCGCTGGCGTCATTTCCCGTGCCATGCCACAGCACACGCGCACACACGCACACACACACACACCACCACCACCACCACCACCACCACCACCACCACCACCACCACCACCACCACAGCACCAGCACCAGCACCACCACAGCACCAGCACCAGCACCACCACCACCACAACCACGCACACACGCACGCACGCACGCACGCGCACCACCACCCACTAGTCCGCGGATAGAGAAAATCAGCGCCATGGTAAGGGATGGGAGGGAGGGGTAGGACGTCAGATATGACGCGCGCACCTAGCTTGCCTCATCCCCACTCTCCTTCTCCTGCTCCTGCCTCTTCTCCTCCTCCCCGTCCTCCTCCTCCTCCTTCTCCTCCTTCTCCCCCATTGGCGCCTTGCCCCTGCGGGTGCGGGACCACCATGGAAGGAGAGGGGCAGTGGAGAGAGGTCGAGAAGGACGAGGAGGGGGAGGGACTGGGAAGAGTTGAGCAGGGATGAGAGAGGGGTGGGATGATGTCTTGAGGAAGAGGGGGGAAGAGGAGGGGGGGTGGCAGGACCAG